CCCTTCCGTATCAAATACGTTTCGTAAAACTACTGCCCTCAACATGTCCACAATTACCCAAATTAAGTCCCTCGTTGCCGCCCTAAACCAAACTCTTGGTCTGGGCCTAAACCTCGATGAGACGGCCCTTGCCGCCATCGCCGCCCATGTTACTCCCCCTGCCCGTCAGGCACTCCAACCGCCGCCCGTACTTGCGGCCTACCTAGAGACAAAGAACTCTTTCGCCCCATTAGAAATGGAGTACGCATGCTCCGAGTCCTCTGCATCGGCCTCCCGGAAGAGGCCCGCCACCAATTCTGGCACCGGCTCATCGGAGTCCTGTGACTCCGACGGAACCGGGGATTCTTCGTTCACCACGGTGAACTCCAAGCGCAACGGTAAACGCGCCGCTAAAAACCGCACCCTCCCTGTCTCAGCGGCCCCTGCCGCTCCTTCAACCTCCGCAGCTCCCGCTGCCGCCTCTGCCCCCGCAGCCCCCGCCGCTGCCTCAGCCCCACTTATGTCACTAGACATTCCCGCTCCGACCAAGCCAGCCTCTCGCTGTGCTCCAGTCCTTGCCAAGAAGCAAGTCCCGCCCCCTGTCTTCCTAAGAGACAAGGCTAAATTCACAGAACTCTCCAAAACCTGCTACAACGCAGGCATAAAATATGACCACGCCATCAACCTCGGGGAGGCTATTAAGATCATCCCCCAATCAATCGACGACTTCCGGCGACTCACCAGGCTATTCACAGCCGAACGAGTTTCTTATCATACATACGCTCTTCCGGAAGAGCGCAAAGTCAGGGCCGTCATCCGCGGCGTCCCCTTCGAATTTTCAAACGAAGAAATCCTTGAGGACCTTAAGTCCCAAGGTTTCCCCGTAGAAGCCGTGCACAAAATGCACAGTAGAACAGGCCAGAGGTTCTCTCTTGCCCTAGTAATTTTAACCAACGTGCCGGAGGCGAAAGCCATCTTCCGGCAGGTACGCACAGTGTGCGGCCTGTCGAGAGTGAGGGTTGAGCCTCCACATAGGCGCGGGTTCCCGGCGCAGTGCCACCGCTGCCAGCTGTATGGTCATGCGGCGGCCAACTGCTCCGCCCCACCCAGGTGCGTTAAGTGCCTTGAACCCCACAACACTAAAGAGTGTCCTCGGCCCAAAGACGCCGAATCCCCACCCGCGTGTGTCCTGTGTAAACAAACGGGCCACCCGGCTAACTACAGAGGCTGCCCTTGCGCACCTCATCCTCGCCCCAGTAGGCAAGCTCCACCGCCGGTCAATGACCGCTCATTCCCGGCTCTTTACCAACGGATGCCCCGTCAGGGCCTTTCTCAGCCCACCCAGGGCTTCTCTCGACCCTCTCAGGGTCCTCCTAGGCCCCCTCAGGGCACTATTCGGCCCCCTCCGGGCTTCTCTCAGCCTATGCAGCCCCCAGTTTTTCCCTGGGGCCCCAAAAAGGCAGTACCACCGCGGACATCCTCCGCCCCTCAACCACAACAATCACAGCCCTCAATGGCTGATGACCTAAAAACGGTGTATTCCGCAATTAGGAACATCAACGTTGAGGAAATCGCTGTGTTAGCACGCAAATTGCGCGCTGCGAGGTCCCCTCAGGATCGTCTCCTCGCTCTTGCAGAGCATCATAATCTTTTGTGCTCATTGTAAGTTAAGTTAACTTAATTAACTTAACTCACAATGACAGAGCAGTTTGCTCTACCAAAATCCCACGGTCGTATCAAACCTAAGGGTTTATCGCTTGTATCCTTTAACATTCGCGGTTTGCGAAATAACCTCCCAGAGCTTAAGCTCTTTCTTCAAAATCGTGAAACCGATTTCCTCCTCCTACAGGAAACTAATCTCAATACTAAGGACACTAAAGGCCTTTCCATCAAAAACTTCTCTCTTCTTCGTAATGATAGACCCGACCGCCGAGGCGGCGGTACGGCCATTTATTACAAGAAGACACTTCACTGTTCTCCCATTTCTACTCCGCAACTTTCCAACATGGAAGCCACGGTATGCAGGCTAGCTATGACTGGACATCAGTCCATCTTCATAGCCTCCTGTTACATCCCTTCTAAAACCCTTCCCCTCAAAAAAGATTTTGAGGCTATTTTATCTCTAGGCAATTCAGTCATTATGTTTGGAGATTTTAACTCCAAGCATACTGAATGGACATGCCGTACTACCACCCGTAGTGGCAAGTTACTGCTCGATATCACGCAGTCTCTTGATATTACCGTCCACAGTCCTCTCGGTGTTACTCACTTTCCCGATAACACCGACTATGCCCCCGATGTACTAGATTTTGCGTTACTCAAAGGAGTTTCTCTCAACCTTAGGGCAATCGAGACACTAGACGATCTAGGATCCGACCACCGACCGGTCTCTCTCATTCTTGGCCATCAGCCACCACTCCCAACACCCTCTACTAAAACCTTCACAAATTGGAAGGGCTTCAAGGAGTCCCTAGCGAAAGCTCTGGACTCACAGGACTCCCCCATCTCCCTATCTTCGGACTTAGACAGTCCTGAAAAAATCGACACCGCGGTCGATTCACTCTCCACCCTTATTAAAACCTCCCTTAAGGAGAATGAAAGGGTCGTCCCGGTTGCTAATAATAGTGGGCTTCCCCTGCATATTAGCAACCTATTAAAAGCCAAAAAAGCTGCTTTCCGGAGAGCAGCAAAATATCCCACGCCCGAATATAGGCGCACGGCCAATCGTCTTCAACGAGAACTCCGTTTCCGCCTCTCTGAATTTCGAGACCTCAAAAAGAGTAAGCTCATGGAGAATATCTCTCCCTCTCATACAGCGTACTATCAGATGGCAAGAGCCCTCCGCATAGACGCTATCTTCCACACTCCCCCTCTCTCCCGTCCCGACGGTACGGTAGCCTTCGAGGACGAGGAAAAGGCTGAGTGCTTTGCAGACAGCATTGCCGCTCAATGCTCTCCTAGCTCTCAACCCGTAGACCCCTCACACGTCCAGGCAGTGGAGGATGAGGTCCGCCGCCGGAACTCGCCCCCTACAGCCTCCGAACCTATCTCTGTGTCCAATGATGAGCTTTCATCCCTCATCAAAGGACTTAAGCCTAAAAAGGCTCCGGGCGCGGATGGCATCTCCAACCAAGCCCTAAAAAACTTTCCTGAGCAGGTGCTAACCCTTTTATCTATTATCTTCAATGCCTGCTTCAACCTTAGTTACTTTCCCACTACGTGGAAAGAGGCAACTGTGATTGGTATTCCCAAGCCAGGCAAGCCTCTTAATCTCCCCTCCAGTCATCGTCCCATTAGCCTCCTCAAGGCCATGGGCAAGCTCTTTGAAAGAGTCATTCAAAATCGCATGAGGCGCCATCTGTTTCCCACAGACGGTGACCCTCTTATCATTCCCCATCAATTCGGTTTCCGAGCGAAACACTCCTGCCCCCAACAAGTTCACCGTATTGTGGAATATATCCTCAGCGGTTTTTATCCCCGTCGTCATAAGACTATCGCGGTCTTTTTCGACATCGCCAAAGCCTTCGATAGAGTCTGGCATACAGGCCTTATCTACAAACTATACAAAATAGGTCTCCCCGATCGTCTAGTACGTCTCGTGGCCTCTTATCTTAATCATCGTACCTTTCGTTTTAGACACGAAGGCACGCTATCTTCACAGCGCCCCATCAAAGCTGGTGTCCCTCAGGGCTCAGTTCTTGCTCCTCTGCTGTACATACTGTTCACCAACGACATTCCCATTCCGCCGAAAGGTGTTCAGCTCTCCCTCTTCGCAGACGACACTGCTCTCTACTGCAAAGGTATCTCGCTACCTTTCATACGGAACAAGGTCCAAAAGTCAGTTGATGACCTAGGAGCTTGGTTCAAAAAATGGCGCATCGATGTGAACCCGGAGAAGAGCTCCGCCGTTCACTTCGATTATAAACGACGCCGTCTCAAAAACACTCCACCAATACGTATGCTAGGGACCCCTGTCCCCTGGCATACGTCTGCCAAATATTTAGGTGTCACTCTAGACACAGGGCTAACTTTCAGGCCCCACGTCAAAAGAGTAACCCGTCACGCACGTTTTTACCTGAATAGGCTCAACAGTATGTTGGGCCGACACAGTAAAATGTCCCTCAGAAACAAGCGTACCCTTTATAAGGTCTGTATACGACCAGTCATGTCCTACGCGGGCCCCATTTTCGCCCACTCTAACCCTAAAATTATTAATGAACTCCAAGTAGTTCAAAACCTTTTCTGTCGTCGAGCTGCGAACGCACCTTGGTACGTCCGCAATGCCGACCTTCATCGGGACCTAGAGCTCCCTACAATTCAACAATTCCTTAAAAAACTCTCTGAGAACTTCTTCAAAGCCTCAGAGTCGCATTCCAATCATTTTATTCGTGAGGCTGCTAATTATGCAGCCCCACTCCCCTCCCGCTATAGCGTCCGCAGGCCGAGGAACTCCCTCTCGGACCCGCCTAATAAACTTTCAAACGACCTGAACTGCCTCCTGGCGGCTCAGGCCAACTCTAATTAAGTTATTCATAATTAATTTGCCTTCCCAGGCACTCCCTCAGCGGCTTATAGCCGCCTGCGCCCTCTTTTCCCAAAAGAGGGTCGCTTTACGATACGGCATGTGAAGCTTTCAACAGCTGGTTGCCAGTCCCCAAAGGCAGTTTTTAGAGGGTATCACTTAGGTTCCCCCTTGTAGGTAGTGAGTCCCTCATAACCACGATGGACCGGCCATCGTGGTATGCGTAATGCATTTTCTGCCTCCCTTCGGGGTAGCCCTTTTCCAATTGCTTCGGGCGCAAAAAAAAAAAAAAAAAAAAAAAAAGTTTAAAAAAATTAGTTTATATCGGTGTTGACGTCGTCTATATAGAGACGAGTGTTTAATTTTCTACATTTCTAGAATTTTATTATTACGTATTAACGACAATGTCTGGACGTGGTAAAGGCGGTAAAGTGAAGGGAAAGGCAAAGTCCCGTTCGAATCGTGCCGGTCTACAATTCCCCGTTGGACGTATTCACAGGCTGCTGCGAAAGGGAAATTATGCAGAGCGTGTGGGTGCCGGCGCTCCGGTGTACCTGGCCGCAGTCATGGAGTACCTCGCCGCTGAAGTTCTAGAGTTGGCCGGTAACGCTGCTCGGGACAATAAGAAGACCAGAATCATACCGAGACATCTTCAGCTTGCCATCCGCAACGATGAAGAGTTGAACAAGCTCCTCTCCGGTGTGACGATCGCCCAGGGCGGTGTACTACCCAACATTCAGGCGGTCCTTCTTCCCAAGAAGACCGAGAAGAAGGCCTAAACGAGTGTGTACACTACTCCCGTCGCATTACTACACCACACCACTAGGCCCAAGAAAATGGTTGAGAACTTTAGACGAGAGTATGCGTCGACGTTTTATCGATCGGTAATGCCCTAATTGTACTATATACGTATTGCATATTCTGTTTTACGCTCTTTAGTATAATAATGGTGCATTCGCCGTCCGTCGACTCGTGTCTCTACTGCTCTATTGTTATCTACCGTTCGTGGTGGTTGGTACGTGATTAAAAGGCCCTTTTGAGGGCCACAAATACTATCGATAATTTATAAATTTAGTCTCTTAGAATGCGAACGTTCTTTAAAGCCTCTTTCCTCAGTTCCTCCTATACTATACCTTATTCCTTTTTGTACGCTATTACTTTCTATTGGTAATGGTAACGATAAGACGAAAGCCATATTTATTATGAATTAATAATAATCAATAGACTAAAAGGTAAAAAAAAAAAAAAAAAAATATTTTTTTTTTTTTTTAAGAGAAACATATATAAATACTTACCGTTCAACATATTATGTAGTAAAAATCTCTTATGAACTTCACCGTTGCCGTTGGCTTTAGATGGATTAGAGGATTGCCTCGCCGCGATAAATGGACTCAATGTATTATGTTAATTATAAATTTACATGCATTATTAAAACATTATCAGTAGTTATTTTATTATTATAAAATATTCGATAATGATTTATTTTATTAAAATAATTGGGTATTAGTATAATTATATATTACTTATATTGGAATGTTTAATAAAATAAAATTTGCGTTCTTTCTAAACTAATCTTCCGCCCGTATCCCCTACTCTCTACCCTACCCCTTCCATTTGTCCGGGCAAACTGGTCGTTGATTGGTTGATCTACACTCGATACGCTCGTTAGACCACTAGCTAGTAGAGTCACCGTGATAGTCGTTATATAAGAAAAAAAAAATTTTGTGTTGTTCAGTGATAATTTAGTATTATCCGTGATCACATTTACATTAAATATTCTTCAAGATGCCGCCGAAAACTAGTGGTAAAGCCGCCAAGAAGTCTGGTAAGGCACAGAAAAACATCTCGAAGTCGGATAAGAAGAAGAAGAAGCACAAGAGGAAGGAGAGTTACGCCATCTACATCTACAAGGTGCTCAAGCAGGTGCATCCCGATACTGGTATATCCAGTAAAGCGATGTCCATAATGAACTCTTTCGTTAACGACATCTTCGAACGCATAGCCGCAGAGGCCTCGCGCTTGGCTCATTACAACAAGCGTTCGACTATTACTTCACGGGAAGTGCAGACCTCCGTGAGACTGCTGTTGCCCGGTGAACTCGCCAAGCACGCCGTGTCAGAGGGCACCAAGGCAGTCACCAAATACACCAGCTCCAAGTAAGGTCGGTGATTGGTGTGTGTTTTAGGTGTATTTCAAAGGCCCTTTTCAGGGCCACAAAATATATCGTATTACTATCCGTTTCTCATAATAACGTCACCCTACATTTCGCTCGTTCGTCCGCTACGCTAAGAGTATTTATTCTTTTATAGATATACCTCGCATGCAAATGTACAATTTTAAAATACTTACATACAACTAATACATAAAAGGATACGAAAAAAAATAAAAAATAATAATAATAATAATAAAGGGATCTTATTTGAAATTACGTAAAATAAATTTAGAATAGTCTACTTAATAACTAGAAATCTGCTATAATACGCGCCTATGAGAGCTTAATAACTATTAGATATAATTATAACCTACAATTTAAGACACAAACGATATTTTTATTACAAGGAGTATATTTTGAGCAAGATATTAGTGATTTCATATGAAATTAAGACCTCGAGGGTTCTCTATAATGCAAATATCATAATATTGTATATTATTATTATTATTTAAAAGTTTTTAATACGAATGCTTGGTCTACCCGATATTCACGATGAAGTAAAAACGGAGAGGGGGGGGGGGGAGGAAAAGAGATGGGTAGAGAAGTCTCGCCTGTAACCGCACATTTGTCGACCATATAAAAGCGTCGCCACTCGCGACGATTTCAAAAAAGATTTTGAGGCTATTTTATCTCTAGGCAATTCAGTCATTATGTTTGGAGATTTTAACTCCAAGCATACTGAATGGACATGCCGTACTACCACCCGTAGTGGCAAGTTACTGCTCGATATCACGCAGTCTCTTGATATTACCGTCCACAGTCCTCTCGGTGTTACTCACTTTCCCGATAACACCGACTATGCCCCCGATGTACTAGATTTTGCGTTACTCAAAGGAGTTTCTCTCAACCTTAGGGCAATCGAGACACTAGACGATCTAGGATCCGACCACCGACCGGTCTCTCTCATTCTTGGCCATCAGCCACCACTCCCAACACCCTCTACTAAAACCTTCACAAATTGGAAGGGCTTCAAGGAGTCCCTAGCGAAAGCTCTGGACTCACAGGACTCCCCCATCTCCCTATCTTCGGACTTAGACAGTCCTGAAAAAATCGACACCGCGGTCGATTCACTCTCCACCCTTATTAAAACCTCCCTTAAGGAGAATGAAAGGGTCGTCCCGGTTGCTAATAATAGTGGGCTTCCCCTGCATATTAGCAACCTATTAAAAGCCAAAAAAGCTGCTTTCCGGAGAGCAGCAAAATATCCCACGCCCGAATATAGGCGCACGGCCAATCGTCTTCAACGAGAACTCCGTTTCCGCCTCTCTGAATTTCGAGACCTCGAAAAGAGTAAGCTCATGGAGAATATCTCTCCCTCTCATACAGCGTACTATCAGATGGCAAGAGCCCTCCGCATAGACGCTATCTTCCACACTCCCCCTCTCTCCCGTCCCGACGGTACGGTAGCCTTCGAGGACGAGGAAAAGGCTGAGTGCTTTGCAGACAGCATTGCCGCTCAATGCTCTCCTAGCTCTCAACCCGTAGACCCCTCACACGTCCAGGCAGTGGAGGATGAGGTCCGCCGCCGGAACTCGCCCCCTACAGCCTCCGAACCTATCTCTGTGTCCAATGATGAGCTTTCATCCCTCAAAAAGCGTCGCCACTCGCGACGAAATCGTCGCGAGTGGCGACGCTTTTATATGGTCGACAAATGTGCGGTTACAGGCGAGACTTCTCTACCCATCTCTTTTCCTCCCCCCCCCTCCCCCCCCCCCTCTCCGTTTTTACTTCATCGTGAATATCGGGTAGACCAAGCATTCGTATTAAAAACTTTTAAATAATAATAATAATATACAATATTATGATATTTGCATTATAGAGAACCCTCGAGGTCTTAATTTCATATGAAATCACTAATATCTTGCTCAAAATATACTCCTTGTAATAAAAATATCGTTTGTGTCTTAAATTGTAGGTTATAATTATATCTAATAGTTATTAAGCTCTCATAGGCGCGTATTATAGCAGATTTCTAGTTATTAAGTAGACTATTCTAAATTTATTTTACGTAATTTCAAATAAGATCCCTTTATTATTATTATTATTATTTTTTATTTTTTTTCGTATCCTTTTATGTATTAGTTGTATGTAAGTATTTTAAAATTGTACATTTGCATGCGAGGTATATCTATAAAAGAATAAATACTCTTAGCGTAGCGGACGAACGAGCGAAATGTAGGGTGACGTTATTATGAGAAACGGATAGTAATACGATATATTTTGTGGCCCTGAAAAGGGCCTTTGAAATACACCTAAAACACACACCAATCACCGACCTTACTTGGAGCTGGTGTATTTGGTGACTGCCTTGGTGCCCTCTGACACGGCGTGCTTGGCGAGTTCACCGGGCAACAGCAGTCTCACGGAGGTCTGCACTTCCCGTGAAGTAATAGTCGAACGCTTGTTGTAATGAGCCAAGCGCGAGGCCTCTGCGGCTATGCGTTCGAAGATGTCGTTAACGAAAGAGTTCATTATGGACATCGCTTTACTGGATATACCAGTATCGGGATGCACCTGCTTGAGCACCTTGTAGATGTAGATGGCGTAACTCTCCTTCCTCTTGTGCTTCTTCTTCTTCTTATCCGACTTCGAGATGTTTTTCTGTGCCTTACCAGACTTCTTGGCGGCTTTACCACTAGTTTTCGGCGGCATCTTGAAGAATATTTAATGTAAATGTGATCACGGATAATACTAAATTATCACTGAACAACACAAAATTTTTTTTTTTTTTTTTTGCGCCCGAAGCAATTTGGAAAAGGGCTACCCTTTACGGGAGGCGGAAAATGCATTACGCATACCACGATGGCTATCCATCGTGGTTATGTGGGACTCACAGCCTACCGGGGGGACCTAAGTGATACCCACTAAAAACCGCCTTTGGGGACTGGCAACTAGCTGTTGAAAGCTTCACATGCCGTATCGTAAAGCGACCCTCTTTTGGGAAAAGAGGGCGCAGACGGCTAAGTGCCGTTTAGGGACTGCCTACGAAGGCATATTTATTTCAAATAATTTTTAATTTAATTAGAATTGGCCTGAGCCGCCAAAAGGCAGTTCAGGTCACTTGAGAGTTTATTTGGCTGGTCCGAGAGAGTATTTCTCGGCCTGCGGATGCTATGGCAAGAGGGGAGTGGGGCGGTATAAGTTACTGCCTCACGAATTAATGAGTTGTTGTGCGACTCTGAAACTTTAAAAAAGTTTTCAGAGAGAGTTTTAGTGTATTGTTGAATTGTTGGGATTTCTAAATCCCGGTGAAGATCGGCATTACGGACGTACCAAGGTGCGTTCGTAGCTCGACGACAGAATAAGTTTTGAACTACTTGTAGTTCGTTAATTATTTTATTATCGGCTTGTGCAAATACCGGGGCCGCGTAAGTCATTACGGGACGTATACAAACCTTATAAAGTGTTCGCTTATTTCTTAAAGACATTTTACTATGTCGGCCTAACATGCTATTTAACCTACCTAGGTAAAAGCGAGCTAATTGTGTTACTCTTTTGACATGAGGCTCGAAAGTGAGCCTATAGTCAAGGGTGACACCTAGATATTTAGTTGACGTATGCCACGGG